CTCTGCTCTGGGGTGCCCTGACCCCCAGGGGAGCACTGACTTTGGCCCTCTTTCATGGAGAAAGTTTCCTAGACTTCAAGATAGACTAGAATCCACAAAAGTGTGATTGTAGAGAGTAGTGTAGGTGTACCATTTGGTGAGAAATTTAGGTTTTGGGATTTTTAGTATGTTGTGGATGGAAGCAAGATGGACGGCACAGGGTGTCATCCTGGGTTTCTTCTTCATGCTTCTTCTTCCTTCTTCTTCATGGGTTTGGGTGGCATTTTGCAATTGGGCAGAAAAGTCCACATTACAGCTCTTTGGGATCAGTTATTGGGTTAAAAGGGAAAAGAATCTAGGTGTCAGTTCTTAATTGGATAGTTCTTAAAGGACCTTGGAACAAGAGACTTTTGGCTGTTTTGTGCCTTCTAATGGAAAGGTGCCGAACTCACAGTTGTGAGAGTTTTCTGATAAGAAAACTGTTTTCCTGATTAGAAATAATAAACACCCGAATCACAACACGAATTACTTTCTCAAGTGCCTTCAATCCCGACCCAGAGAAACCGCAGACTGGGAGCCCCACAGGTGCAGACAGCCAAAGGGCACAGGCCTGGCTCAGCACTGTGACACCCAAGCACCATCCCGGGGCTCCCCGTGGTTTCCTTGCTCCTGCCCAAGGAGGCAGCTGGAGCTTTCCGCTCCTAGCACGGTGGGAATGGGCAGCAGGGGTGAGGATGAGGAGTGCACAGCTCCTCAGCTGGCTCTGGCAGCTCTGCTTCAGAGCCCTGAGCTCCTGCGGCTCATCCTGTGGCATCCCATGTGGGCTGTGGTCCCAGCAGCTCCCAGCCATGCCGTGCCCCAGTCCCAGGGCTGAAGGAAGCTGCTGTGCTTGCACAGTGTGATGCAGAGCCCCAAGCACAGGAACCTGCCCAGCTGGGTGTTTCTGCCTCTGCTCTTCCAGCCCCACCAGCTGTTACACTTTAGGCTATTTGTAGGCAGGTTTATTTTGACACCTACACTTTTCTTTAGTCAGTGGATTAAGAAGCCCAAGTGGAAAACCTGCTTAACTGGAGTGTTTTACAATATTTGCTGTAGCAAAGGACCATCAATTAGGGGGTAATTCAGCCTCCCTCTCCTTTCTGTAATGGCTATTGAAGGAGCCAAGGGCAACATCCTAACCTCAGTGGTTTACATAAGTGCTTAATTCAGGCTAAATTGCTCCTTACCTGATTTGATAGAGTAGTAAGATTTTTTTTTTTTTTTATGTGAAGACTACACATGTACCATAATACATTAATTGTTTTGAGGCTTTTTTAAGACAAGGGCAACAGTTGTAATTAAAACAAATTATCTGAAAAACATTATCAACAGAACCAAAGGATGGCAATCAGTGTTAAGCCATCAGCTATGGAGAAGGCAACTTTCACCTCCAGTCTGAAGCCTATTTAAGCATCTTCAGGCCTCCCAGAGAAGACAGTGAGCTCTGATGCCTTGGGAGAATGGAGGCACAGGCCTATAGTCTGCAGCTTTTAAAAGCTAAACTAATAAATATTTTAGCTTTCCATACCTAGGTGTGAAAGAGCAAAAGCAACCAAAACACTGGGGTGCCTTTGTAAAAGACTGACCTATTTTAAACACACAGGTCAGTCTACAGCATTTGACTGATAGGTCTTTTAACCTCTAAGAAAGGAAAGAACCTTGAAAAGATCTGGTTTACAAATCTGATTTACAGTTTAGAATCCAAGCTGATGAGATGTAGCAGCCAGGATCATCTTACATTATTGTAAAGTTATCTAGAGAGCTAGAGCTGTTGGCCAGCCTGCAAAAAAATCAGTAATGTAGCAAGTAACACAGAAAACAGGAGATTTCCCCATTGAGAATAGGGATTTCGTGCTGTCAGTATGCAGAGCTGGATTCAGTTCAAGAACTGCTGCAGCCATATTGGCTTTGCTTCCAAACATTGCAACTTCCAAAATTTTCTCTCCGACCGTCTAGCAGATGTCAGGTCTAGCACCTTCAGATAAATTAACTCTCCCAGGATGGGCTCCAGGGGTGCAAACACCACTCATATGCTTCAGCTGGGTACACCTGAGCCATCTGAGATGAGCTCCAGAGGAGACCATGCAGGCTGGACCTTTCCCACTGGAGAACTCCTAATGTTTCCCAAAAGGCAGAAACTTCTTGTGCTGGATTTCTTTGCAAGCATCCACTACTGAAACCAAGGCTTAAATGAACCTGTGAAGCTCTGAGCATGGATCCTCCTGCCCTCTTTGACCCTTCAGATTAGGCAATGCTGCTGGAAATCGGTTCCACATCCAACATGTACCGAAAATCCCACAAGAGTAACAAAGAAGGGGAGAAGGCACCAGCACAGGGGCCATGGGAGCAGCAGGGGCTGAGCCCTTCCCTTATAACCAAGTTCCATCACTGCCAGTGCAGCTGTTTTCCTCACTCCTAAAACCTCACCTAGCCAGAAAATTCCAGTCAGTGCATCAGTAGAGGCTGCAGATGCCCACACAACCCAGGAAAAACATAAATCCCTCCTTTGTCTGGTCCCTCTCCCTTACTAAGGTTGCCAAGCATTGTGTGTTACCTGGTACCAGCTGGCACCAAGGACACACAGAGTCAACAGCAAGCCCAAGATAAGATACATTAGCTCAAGCCTTGGTGATGGAGGGTTAAACTAATCCATTTAACCTTGAGTTTGCAGAAGGTAAAGAGCACACATGCAATTGTTTCACCTCACCTTCCACAGGTTAAGCTGTGGTGACATCTGCTTAGTCTAAGCTGCTCATTTCCATTTCTGGGTGCATGGTGCTGGCACAACAGTGCTGAGACTCTTCTGAATTCAAATTCAGTATTACAGCACAAGAGGGAGGTCAAAACAAGGACTAAAAATTCAGCCAGGCCCATGAGGACAGTGCAGTCTCCAGCAATGTTCATTGGGGATAAAGCATGACAGAACTTTTTCCAGCAATTCATTTTTCAGTGCCATATGTAATCAGATGATGAACTTAAGTCATAAGCATCCTCCAGTGAAATGACATCTACATCAGTGCCTTCCTTCTGACACATCGAAAACTGAACATAAACTGGCAGGAATTCAGACAAACAGCTCCACAGAAGATACTCCCAGATTTGCAGCTGATGATCTCCAGATCTGCTATATAAGCAAGAAGTCTCCACCTGTTCATGCATCAACACGATTAAAAAACCCAAACAGATGGTGACTTAATCCCCAACTCCATCACCACTGACGTTAGACAAAATGAGGAGCATGCCTCGCTAAAACCTTTGCTTATACTGGAAAAACCTTCAAAACTTGGTGTCTGTGAGGACAAAGTATTGCCATTCCAAAACACTGCACTGATGGGGCGATTTCAGGCTATAAAGGGAGACAGCTGACTTTAAATACTGATTATAGGCACAGAGTATTCAGCAGGATCAAGCAGCAACTGAAAGTGCACAAGTAGGAAACTCATGCCTCAAACAACCCAACCTGAGGAGCAGAGGAGCAAAGAGCTGTCCATGTCCCACCACCTTGGGATCACTTGGAGTGGCCACCCCCTTGTTCAAACTACCAACCATCATTAAAATATAGAAAACCAGCCAGAACTGCTGCTGCTATCCCAGCAGGTTTAAAAACATGCCTTATGCTAAGGATGCTTCTTAAAAGGGAAGCAGGTACTTGTCCCTGCTGTCCTGGTTCCCCTTCCCTCACCTCCTGCTCAAGGCACAGTGTCTCCACAGCTAACAGGAGTCCTATACCAGCCAAAGGAATCCCTTCACATCTGGGGCTGGGGAGGAGGGCCAGACACCCATCACAAAAAGGAATAATTGCTCCTGTATGATTACAGCATAGCAGCAGTGAATTTTGCACTGCTAATAATGGGGTTCCTGTGGTGCGGGAGCCTCTGGGAAGGTCCCAGAGCAAGGAGAAGGACATCACTGTCTCAAACCTTCACAGATCTGAAAGTTAACCTGCTGCAAGCACAAATCTTTACCCTCCTAAATCATTTTACTCATTTTCTATTCTATGGGACAATTTACCAACAGAATCTGCAGTAGGAAACGCTGAAAGGAAAGTTTCCTCTTGAGGAGCACACTCCACCACACACTGCTCCACTTTACATTGCCCTCCTGCCTGAAAGAAGGAAATAACCCACACAGCAACCTCAAGACTCTTTCAGACTGACAAAAATGTACCCAGTTCAGAAATTTTTTTTCTTACTAATGAATAAAACTGAGGATGGGCAGGGGGAAGAAATCATATGGTGTTCATTAAAACCAAATGTTTTGGTCAATTTTTAAGAAATCTAAAATCCAGGGAGATGGATCTACACCATTCTTATGATGTTCCTATAAGGAAATACACAGCAGGTTTTCTCCAAGCTGCAGAAGGCAGGTCCAAATCTGTCCTTTAAGGTCCCCCAAGCAGGTAGCTGTGTCACAGGTACTCACACACCCCAAGATAACACATCAGAGGGGGCATAAAAAATTAACCATTCAAGCAACTGCTCACTGGACAGCTTTGGTCAAAATTAGGCAGGAGTTCAGCCCAGCCCAGCCCCAGCTCACTTGGCCAGGACAGCCAGGGGAGCGCAGCTCAGACAGCAGAGGCAGCTGTAATGCCTGCAGCAGCTGCAGGAGAGCTCACATAATGACATTCCCAGTGCCTAATGCACATGGAAATAATCAGGTTCCTTGTAAAAGCACAGGTTCATCTTCCCCTCTTTCAGCACCACAGTGATGGCCAGGAAGTCTTTTCAGAGTGGTTGAGTGTTCCAGACCCAAGGGCCTGGTGTCAGAAACACCCAGACACCAGCACTGTCCCAGTGGTACAGGAACTCCACACCTCTAACCTGATGGGCCTAAATGTCTGACCTTCCAAAGAGCCAGTGCTTCATGTCAAATGGTCTGAGAGTTTAAAATCAGCTTTTACACAGTGTTTAAAATAGGTGTTATTGTTCAAATGTCTACTAAGTCAGTGTTATTCCATTTGTATTAACACAAATGCGAAGTAACAGTTTGACCCAATTTATTATTTTCCTGCTTGTATTAATTTTACATAGCACAAAGTTCTTATTTAAGCAACCACATTCAACTAGAATAATAAATTTTACCTAATGGAAATAGGCAAAATTTCTAATGCTAGTTGAAATTGACAGGAAATATACCATTATCAAGATATTTCAAAGCACGCTGTTTTCAGTAAGAGTTGAATTTGTACTTCTATTTCAGAGTTTGCATGTTCATAGGAATCTTACAGACATCTGGATTTCAGTTCAGGATTTATTTGCATACAAAAATATATTATAATGGAGAAAAGCATTAAAGTCTTCAACTATATAAAATTACAAATATATTTGCATAAAAGCAACTTTAAATTAAAATTCAAGCTATATTTTAAAGCAAAATACAGCTCTAACATTTAAGTTATTCCATCTGCTGCAAAGAAAAAAAAAAAGAAAAAAACACCCAAAAAACCCAAACCCCAAAACCAATGTTCAATGTTGCCAGTTAAATACTTGTGGGAGTTCACAAAGGTTATGTTCAGAGGGTATCTTGAGCAAAGTTATCAGACAAGGGCAGCAGTTCTCACTGATTGATGTCACTTATCCTTCAGAGGACACCCACATGCAAGCACAATGCTGAAAATTCATTTCACATACCTGAAAATACAGAACAAGAAAGATCACTAAGCTCTCTATTAAATAAGATTGCATGTTGTTGTCATATCAGACACTTGCCTATGCCCAGCTTGCTGGACTGCCTGACAAGCCAAATTATGTCTTTTTTTTAAGTTAACATGAAAGCTGAAATGCTGGTGTGCTAAAAAGACAAGGCAAGTACTGTTCTAACAAAGTGCATTAGGCTTGAAAAGGGATCTGTACAAAGTTTGTGTAACCTCAAGCATATACAGACAACTCCTCAAAAATGCGGTGATAAATACCAGATGGAAGTTGGACTTCTTCCTCACTGTACTAATGAAACTCTGCTGAGATCACTGGAGATTTGTCTAGTTGGGATTAAAAAAAATAAAATCACACCAAAAAAAAAAAAAGGCACAAAACCACAGAGCAGGTGCTAGTTCCTGCCTTCACCTTTGATGTACTTTGCAAGGGAAAAATAAAACCTTGGCAGCCCTTTTAGAGCTGCAACATGGCTGTGCAAGATAGCAATGCAAATATTTGCCGGTTTGGGATACACAAACCTTCAAAAACTTGGACTTTTTTCAGAAGAGTGGTCAATTAAATTTCAGTGGTAGAGTCAGTTCAAGCTCACATCCATGACAGAAGACAGGAAACTAAAAAATGTATTTTAAGTATGAGAAGTGAAACCAGGATTAAGATACAAGCAAGACAGCAGGGAAGCAGGAACTCATAAGGGCAGCTGTCTTGAATTAAGTATATCTTCAAGAAATACAGGGAAGGGAAAACACCTAATGAGCACACAAAACTCTCAGTTCATAGTTTGAGAGGGCTTTGTTTATGCTGCTATTTAGGTCTAGTCCTATAACTTGTTTGTTTGGGCTCTATAGCCTAGTTCCACATAAAAAAAAAAAAAGCCCAACCTGAAACACAAAAGAAATGGTATATGTCCACAACATAAGAAGCAAAGAAGAGGAAGAAGCAAAAGGAATAGGCAAAAAGGAATAGGCAGAGTACATGGCTGGCAACAGGCAGCCTGTTTTTTGGTTGTTTTTCTTTAAAAATCATAATGAAGATTCCACGACTTTAGCTGAAAGATACGATTTCTAGATAGTTGCAGAAAAAGTGATCCAAGTTCCATTCCTGGTAAAAACATGCACAAATAGGATTTTGACATTAAGTCAACAATGCTCCTTCATTCTCTCACAAAGCAAAGTCTAGAACAAAAAGATTGTTCCTCCCCTAAGGACACTCCTCCAGTTACTTAGCTTTATAATGAAGAAACAGATCACCAGTTTTTAAACTGAGATTTGAGTATTTAAGAAACTGATGTTCATTTATCCATCCACTGTCAAGGAGGGGTGAATTGCTGCTGACTCAGAGGTGGGACCAGGGGTTCATTGAGCTCAGCCTTTGTCACACAGGATAAACTGCACACCTTGAACATTCAGGCAAAGTCTGAATTGAGTCTGTTTTACCTTCTCATCCAGATAATGATCCACAGGACTAGCAAACTAAAAGGAAGAAACATTATATAAAATATTTTTATTTTTCCCTTCCCTCTCTCTCTCTACATTGGATTTCAACACTCTTTGAAACAAGTTCCAAGTGAGATGCTAGCAACTAATAAAAACCTACTTACTTGCTAGTGTTCTGTCAAGATCAGCAATGAAGTCCTCCAGCTCCTTTGTGTCCCCAAGCTTTGCTGCAAAACAAGGGTCAGCATTGATTAGACAGGACATGTCTCTCTGGCTAGAAGAAACACTAGAAACACACAAGCCTCCAAATAATTTTCAGGGGTAGCAAAGATCCTGTGGATTATCATCAGCAAAGTTCAGTAGAGCTGCTGCGATGTCCAAAAGCACTTAGAGAACATGGGACACTGAGCTGAAGTTCTAGCTTTCATAGTTTTGTACTTGACAGAAGCAACACAAAGCAACACTTTATGCAGCCTCCTTAAAAAGAAGGGGCTGCAGTGAAGAATAAAAGATTCTTTCACACATCAACTAATCCATGTCTTTGCTACTGTGGCCATCTTTCCTGTTTCATCTCTTCAGATGCTGCATGCATGGCCCTAGTCAATCCCTATGAGCTCCCAGCCCTACTCAAATATCACCCTCTAAAATCATGTCAGCATCACAGGTTTGCTGTGCTGCCAGATCCTCTCATCTTGGTCCACACACTATAAATGTGGAACTATAAATCCACCAAATTTTCCACTCCTTGCAACGCCACTGGTTCTACTCATTCTAGTTTTACTGCAAGTTTCTTCCTCATCTCATGTCTGTGATCTTTTCCAAGCCAGTTCCAACTCTGTCTTGTCATCAGGAAGAGCATCTTGTCCTTTAGTGTAATTCTTCACCAAATATTTCCTGACAGTTCAGCTGAGCTCTTTTTTTGCTACTTTGCAGAAACTGTTACTCATTATTTCTCCCCAGTGTCCCACTAATTGAAAAGAAAGCATTTAACTTGGCTTTTTTTGTGATTGTGGAAGAGATATAAAAGTGGAAGAGATATGAAAGTGTGAAAGGCTATTGAGCATGCACCTGAGTATAGTGGTTGTAACAAAAGCACCATGTAGTACAAATGCCTGAGTGCTCACTTATTGACATGTCTGCTCCAGAGTTAATCCAAGTTAACCTGAATGAAGCACTGTCCTGGGAAATCAGCTGCAAGACAGAAGCCTCTTTCAACAGCATGGCTTCAAAGGAGGAAGGAATTGCTAACACATGGTTTGTATAAGCCCTGTGTAACTTCTATATAGATCTGGGCAATTCTGTTAACTTGCATGGCAGCATATGGCTTCAGAGGAGTCCCTCTAGCCCTGCACCCAGGCTGAGCATTTTTATAGAGAAATAGGACACTTAAGGTACTCAGTCGCATCAGTAAAAAAGTAACACAAGTTAATAATTAATCCTTTTCTGCCAGAAAACCACATTTTTTTTAGCTCAGTGTTTCAAAAGCAAAAGACTTACCAGACCACCTGTAAAGTGCGGATACAGAATGCTATTGCCATTTATAATCAAGACAACAATACTTGGATCTGTAGTGTGCTCAACAGTAATCCTTAGTTTTGCTGTCATTAAAAAAAAAACAAACAAACCCAAAACCCAACAACAAAAACAACCTACCAAGAAAAAGAAACACCAAAATGAAAAAAAACCCATGCAAGCATGTGAATCCTGGCTCCCAGCAAGAAGCCCATATAATTGAGGAGCAGGAAGAAATGCCAACAGCTAAAATTAAGATACCTTTACAAGGAGTCACTGAAGGGGATGGCAAGCTTGGAGTAGATGCAGTTGAAGAGTTGAGCTTTTCATCACTGAGACTGAAACTATTTCTGTAGAGGGAATCTGCACCTGTAAAAAACAACATTATAAATTAAATTTGACACCTTCTGAAGTTTGCAACATAACTGAAACCCAAAATGCAGCCTTTCCTATATAGACTTCAAAGTCTGCAGAACTCAAATTTAAGTCTTCAAAAGCAGAGAAGTGAATAAATAAACCCTTTATTGGGTGAAGGCTACTGCTCCCACTCCTACTGTTAAAGAGAAAGCAGGCCTAGGCTTAATCCTCACCCCCAGTAAGGAGTGTGTCAGCTTCCCCTTCCCCTGAAGTCAGCACCATTTGAAAAATTGAACAGAATTTACAATTATCCCATATCAGCAAAATTATATCTATTAGGACCTGCCTAATTCACAATATTCTGGGAAATTCTCTTACCTAAATTTTTCAAAAGTTACAAAAAAATAGAATTAATAGAATGCTCCAGAACAAGGACAACAAGAATAAAGAATATATTTAGGGCTGTCCTTTATCCCCAAAGCAAGCACACTCCTTTCTCCATACGTTACTCTGCTGTTTTAGGTATGGCATTTTTAATTCCTTTATTCTGTGACTCTCTGGAGTTCATGAAGCAGTACACTGGTACATAAAATATTCTGCAATCTTATTTTAGGTGAACTTTCAAAGAAAGCCTTATGTGCCCTGGAAAGGCACAGAAAAGGCCCCCAATACTATTTTGATGTTCTTGTGTTCTTGAGGAGGCCTTAAGCTTGAAAAGCATCAAAAAGTATCTTTGAGTACAGGGGTAACTCAAATATTAGTCCTGGCTCCACTGGAAGGAGGCTCTGTCATCCTGCTAGAGACTCTAAAACTGCTGGTCCTGCAGTTTCAAGCCAGTGACCTGAAAACTGTGCTTCTACAAAAAGACACCACTGAGATACAAACATGGCCAGGGTCTGCATTTACTTGGCACATTGCCTGGGACATCAATGCTTGTTTTAGTATATGGGAGGGTGATTGTCACTGCTTGCCATGAGGCAGCAATCCTGCTCCCTGCAGCACACACAGCCCCTGTTGTCCCTGGAGCCACAGCACTGCAGCACCAAGCCCACTGCAGAGAGCCCATTGTGATGGGCTTCCTTGGATGCCTTCCCATTTGCTGTGCCAGGAGAGCACTGCTTTAGCTAAGTAAGGGTGTCTGGATGAATTGGCAAAAGGGGCAGGCCCACAGCTTGCCTTGCCAAGATCTGCACATCTGCACCTCTACTGAACATCTGGATGCCTCCAGATAGCAGACACTGAGACCATCCCCTTGCAGACCTGGGCCTCAAGTTCAGCTGTCTCTGGGAAGAAGAGCGTGTGTCCCCAGCCGCCTCCTCTGGCCTGCTGTCCTGTCCAGCACAAAAGCAGCTTCCACAGGAGCACACAGGCACAGCGACAAGGCAGACCAGACAACTGCACCTACAAAGCCTCTCAGATCTTCCCTCAGCCATTAAAGCTGATTTATTTGTTCTTTGCCACCTTCCAAGCTCACCTCTGTTACAATACGCACCAAGAAGACTTGGGAGAAAAGCTTCAGCGTGGAATACTTCCCTCTTTCCCATGTGTTTTGGCCCACCACTGGGCTGTATTTTCAGTTTCCTCTGCCATCATCTCAGATCCTGTTCTGGCAAACACACATGGCCCTCAGCACCACAAAATGTGAGCAATGACATGACTGACATCTCTCATCTGGGGCTACTGCCACCTGCTCAGCCACCACTTGGTACTTCTTGTTTGTAGACATGAGAATAGAGTTTGATGGCTTCTTCAAACTACCCCCTAATTGCAATTTCTTTATCTCCACTCTTAAGAAGAGCAGTTCTTCTCTCTAAACTTCAGCAGATCAAAACCAAACTGTTAGAACCAATTGGATTCCAACCAATTGGAATTTCAAATGCAAGAAAGACTTCACAAATGCAATGCAGAAATGAGATCATTTTAGATACAAAAATGGGGGGGAAAGATAAGCCCTTTTAAAAGTAGCTCCTAAAAACAGAAAAAAAAATTAAAAATAACCTAAGGATGAAAGAAATCTGGTAGTGCTCTGCTGATGTGTGCCACCAGTGCTGTACTACACCCCATGAACCCTGCACATTAAGTGACACTTTCTCTCTATTAAAGGTATGGCAGATTTCCTCTGAAATCAGTTTACAGAACAACTGCCTACTGAGGCTACATTTTTTCAGCCAAGATGCAAACCCCAGTGACTAAGAAACACAGAATGGAAAATTCTAGCTGTTCAGGACAAAACCCCAAGTAACTTGTAATAGCTGACACAAACAGTGCTGTAGCCAAGACTGTAATTCACTGAAATTCTGACAGAACAGACCAAAGATAAAACTCTTTTCAGGCTATTTATTTGAAAAGAGGAGAACAAGAATTTCCAAATTAATTCATATTTTAAAGGTTTTATGGCTCATTGAATTAATAAAAATACAGAGAACTATGGTTATAAATCTGAGTATACTTTTAATGTGAACTCTCCGATTCTAACATCCAGACACCAAATACAGCAAGGCTGGGTTGGCATCAGAAAATGTAATTTCATACTGGCTTCCACAGACATTATGCTGGGAAATATTTACAACTGGACAAAGATAAAATATGACAAAACTGTTGCTTTAAATCTCTGAATGTTTTTCTCCCAGTTTCAAAAGGTGAAATGTTTTCACATAACAATGTTATCTTCTGATGGGTCGTAATAGTTTCAGGAAAATATCAACATTTATCTTTCTCAAAGCAAAAATATACTTTAGCAAGTGACTGTGGCTCATTCATGCCACCAAGCATCAGAAATTCTAGTGATGTAAGGAGGAATGCACTGACTCCACCAGCAAGGTCACCATAACTGCTGGAAACAATGTTAAAATACTTATGACAAGCAGCACAGAAAGATATCCTCTTTGGCAAAGGGTGACTGTAGGGCAGAAAGCTCTGGGAAAAGGACACTTCAGTCCTTGCTCTCTACCAGCTGCCAAAGCCAAGATTTGCTCATTCACCTCCAATAATGGCCCTTGGAAAAGTTCCACTGCCAGACAAATACAACATCCTCTGCAACCCAATAACCAGGGGCTGATACCAGGGATCTCATTGCTGCTGTCCTTCCTCGCCCAGCTCCCTCTCTCCCACCACAAGTTTGTTATTCATTACCTGTTTTCTACTTTATACATTGATTCTAGCGCCTGTGCTTATATTTAAAAGCCTTTACATCTGAGAGTTTTGTCAGTGAGTTGATTTGCATCAGTAAGGCTACACTGCAAAATTCGGGGGTAGGAATAAATACGGGTGGATTTTACTTTGGCAAAGTAATCTGTAGTTAGTATAACTCTACTGCTCCAGTGTATGGTTAAACCACAAAATAAACCATGGCAACACCATGTAAATATAGAAATGGCCCCATGAAATGAGCAATTGAAAGGCTCTCAGCAGTAATGGACTGAAGGAGGAAAACCTCAAACTTCTCATTTCAAAACAGACAATGGAAAATTCAGCTGTGTAGCTTCTTTAGTATCATGCTCTTTCTAGTACCATGGCTCAATTTTGAAGAGCACTGGAGCTGGTAACATTTTTACTGCAGTTTTCAGTGGGGAAAGTTTTAGGGGAAAAAGTTAAAACATCCATAAAGCTTTCAGAGAAAAGCTTCACAAGTCCACTCAAGTGTCTACAAATCATGAATTCATTATGAAACAGTAACTCAGCACTTAATGAGCAGACTGTACAAATAATTCCTAACAGAACATAGCCTACTTGCTAAAAATCAGAAAAAAAATCTGGAAATTGTAATGTCACCAGCAGAAGTGAGAAATATTCATGATACAAAAAGCCTGTTTCAAAATGTGTATGTTTCAGCCCCCAAGGACAGTGTTTATTTTTATCATCATCACAGTTACACTTGGCTGCATTGTTTATTTTTGTGGGGATTTTGCCTAGCTAACAAACATCTGTTCCAATACTGACTAAAAAATGACACCTTTTCTCTATTGACACATCTCAGCATCATTATTTAAAGGATTTCAAATCACATAGCTACACAAAAGTGATCTAGGAAGCCTGAAATCCAGATGCACAGGCATGTTTTCTCATTATATACAAAGCTTACCTTCCCACTCCCGCCCATGCTTACCAGCTATGAGGCAGTTCCCAACTCCAGCCCTCCCTTTTACTAATCTTCCTTTCTAATGAGTAAGAGCAGTGGGTATGCTGAAGTGACAAGAACAGGAAATCTTATGAAAACTGCATTTCTCAGCACACTGAAATACCTGTAGATAAGGCTATGCACCGGAAACTTCCAATTTTTCTTCCCCTTGAGCATATCACTAATGTAATAAAAGTTTCTTTCCCAGATCATTTAATAAAAGGGACTTTCTCCAGAAAAGAAAGTGTTCACTTTTTTCATTAGAAGCATTTTATTGTCCTCTTGTTTGAGACAAGCCATAGGAAGTTCACAGACACAATCTACCTCCTTTTCATGTTACAAGACTGGCATTTGCTGCAGAGACCAAAGGCTCATCTACTTCACATCCTGTTTCTCACAGCAGATGCCTGCAGAGGAGCTCCAGTGGTGCAGCCACACACTGAGAGCTGCAGGATGAGCTCTCCCAAGTTCTCCCAATGCAGGTACCACTCTCTTTCCTGAGACACCAGTGGCACCAGCCTGAGCAGTCCCCAATGGCCCCATCCCTCCTGCTGGGATTTTATCTGGTTGTTTTTGTAGCAGTCACTTTCCTAATGTCACTTAGGATTCTCCAGAACACTGTCTTGTCCCCACCCAAAACATCTTTTTGCCAGACAGTCCCAGACTATTTATTTGGAAAATATTTTACATCTTAAATTACTTCTGTTGCCTTTTTCTTTGCCTTTTTTATGGTCACATATTACAAGACTGACAATGCAAACAGGTTTTTCAGGGTGAGTGCTGCAGTTCTAACAGGGGCTGATGCTTCATCTCTGGATGGCCTAGGCATTAGCAGGAGCACCTGGAGACATCCATGGAAACACAAGTGCTGGCACTGCACCAGGCACCGAGTGTTAAGAGTTCCTGCTCAACCCCTGCACTTACTTGACTTTAAAATCATAAAATTAAGAGTTCTAGATGCACTCAGGATTTTATTCTTGTGTTTGAAAGCCATGAGGCATTGCTCATTTAATTACCATTAAAAAATAACTACAAAGAACACTGTTGCCTGTATGGGTACAAGAATTGAATTGATGAAATTATCTTGCAATGCTTTTAACAGAGAGGCAGGAAGCTGAACCTGCCTCAAGAAAACATGGAGCTACAAGTGTCAAACATTTCTTGAGAGCAAGACAACAGATTATGATGTAGCTTTTCAGTGTTATTGTAACACTAAAGCACTTTGCTTCTCAACCTCTCAAAGTCCAACTTCCATTCATTATCCTAAGTCTAAACTAGGAAGGCTGTCCTGACACTGCCATAAACTGTACAGGCACTGACTGGGCATGCATTTTACACAGGCAAGCCTGCACTCTTTGCAAGCTTATTCTGACACAAGAAGACAATGCTATCTGTAAGTTCATTAACACAGCTGCAGCTACACGAGAGCCTTCTGCCAGCACAGCACTCTCTAGCACAAATCCTCCTTTATCACAGCCCAGATATGCTGTGAATAGCAAAGAGACACAAAGTATTCCTTAGCTTAAAAGCTCCAGCGTGATTAATAACATAAAGAACGAAGCTGCTGGGCACCAATTCGTTTGAATACATCAACTTGAAACATAACTGGTTTTGTTTCATAACAAACATACTCCAGAAGCTCTGGAATTCTGGAGTAACTCAGCAGTTGCATCATGATTCCAGCTCTGACCCACTCAGCTGTGGTGGTTAATGTAATACTCGTGGGCAGAGATCACCACACACAGCTGCACTCGGAGCCTCTCTGTTACTGCAGGGTCTAGAGTCCGCTCTGCTACGTACAAGGCTTAGACACAGCCAAGCCAGACCTGTCCAAAGAGCATTTGGTCAAATGACAGGACAAGATGTGGGAGAACAAAGTACTGATAGCACCCATTTTTCATACAGTCTTCAAAATCCTACTTTTTCTCAAGAGCCAGAAATATGTAATTTAAGAATTTAAAGTAGTATTTTTGGAGCTAGCTCCCTTGGGAGATTTTAAGGATAAGAGAATATTTTCAGGATTAACTGCATTGACAGAGATCTTCTGTAAACTTTTCTGTTAAATTAAATGGGCTCATGCCCATGGCAGAAACCCCAGGAGAGGAAAGGCTTCCCTGCCCCAACTAAACAATCTTGTTCAAGTAGGACCACTTTACATCTGTTAGTAGCTTCTCATGAAACTGAATTTAAGGCTGATTCAGGGGCACTGAAACAAACAGTTGCAATAGTTTAGAATGTTTCCTTCCCTTACAGTTCCATCCCTGAGTGGAAAGATATCACTGCAGGAGTGGCCAAAAGATACATATCTTCAGCCACACCACATCAGTTAGGAGGATTAGATCAAACAGCAAACAACAGGTAGCACTAAAACACAGTAGTCTGAACTGTTCTACACACACATGATAAAGTGTGCTTGAAATAGTCTTGGCACTGGATAACAAGATTTTGCAAAGAGGTAAAGAATCTTCGTTAACAAGATGATCAAACTACCAGCAGATAATATGGTTTTTAAAGACTCATGTTATCAGAACTTATTCTTTCAGCCCAGTCACCCCTTGATTCTGCAGTGGTTTTTTAACCTAACCCTTATCACAGTAAGGGCAAGGGCATGAATTCAGCACTATACTGGCTAACACTAAATTACAGAAATCAAAGGGAAAATAAACTCAAGAAATACTTGAGTTTGAACTGAAAGAACCTGGGTAAAAAGGCAACTCCCTGCCTTTAGTCTTAAAATAGATGTAGGGTGTGTAGCTGGATTACATCAGACACCAGAGCCTGTTTTATAAAAGGAGCTTTTCATTAATCCACAATTCCTCTCCAATCCTACCAAAACTTCAGAATAAAAAGTTGACTGCACTGAATGACTCCTTTAGGAAGAAGTGTTTTACCAGGCCTTTCCTGGGCCATGAGCAGAGCTGGCTGGTTTTGTTTCTTCTTCCTTAAACATATCCTCATAAACTCTGGTGCACCCTCCTGGTCCCCTACATGCCAGTGTCCAGAAGGAAATTATTCCAGCCTCTCCAGAGCCAGCTTTCACACCATGCATCGCTCAGGCATGGGACAGGAATTGAAAACTTGACAAGTTCCTCATACAAGATCTTTGAGGACTTCATATAGAGCCACCAAACCCTGTCTATCCTACTAATCCCACTACTGTCTTCAGCCTAAATCCCTGTGGATTTGCCTCAGATTTTTATTTTCCAGATCTTCCTGACAATCTGATCTGCCTGTTTACATGAGCATGCTGTTTTCTCACCAGGCCTTCTGCCCTGCCATCTTCCTCCAAGTATCCTTCTTGTCAACTCTAACAGAGCAATTTCAAGCAGTTTTCCACATTTTAGTTTTTTGAACCATAGCAGATAGCTATCTGTAGTTACTTAACATTTCTCCATACAAGGAGAATAAGTTCTAGATACTGGGTTGGGGTTTTTATAATTCCCAGCAGTAAATTATTTTACTCTATCATTACAAGTGTCTCAATGGTGAGACAAAATAAGTGTATGTGAGAGGTTAACATATCACAACAAAGACTGCACAAGAAATATAAGCACTAAGGCAGCCAGTTTGACTCAGTAAAGGCAGATTTCACCTTACACACCCTTGGCCATACCAAAGAAAAATGTTCTGTCTAAATTGGGCACACAGTTCAAAATCCTCCTTGGAGGCAGAGAGATTCTAAAGAGTTTTATGCTCACTACATTATGAAACAGAAAAATAGCATCTTGATCCATGTATTTCCATAGGAAAACCCAAAGGCAGTGCTAGGTAAGGTATCCAAGTTCAGGGCAGGTAAAACAATACCTGTCAACAAAATTAATTCCATCCATGGTGATGAAATAAAGGGCTCTGATAATCTGGAGACTCTCTGCTCTCACAGCTCAAGTACTAGCGAGATAGCATTAGTGTTTAAGCACTAAACCAACAGAATGGCACCTTGAGTCCATGACTGATAAAGAGGCAGAACAGAAATTAGAGGAGTAGTCTTATTATAAATAGCTGTAAAACAAGTAAATTTCATCAAGCTTCCCATATAGTTAGGAACTTAGCAAAAAAAAAAACCCCAAAACAAACAAACAAAAAAAAAAAAAACCAAGCTCAAACCCCAAATCAACAAAACTGGTTATATTTTGCATTTAGCAGGACTTATTTCTGAGAAAGTTACCCACTGTTCTCAAAGAAAACAGCAGTTTCCAGCCTCACTATCTGGAAGAGGAAATATGTTTTCTCTCCCTGATTAGTAAAGCCAGTAAGAGGGGTTGAACTTTTTTCCATGTTAACCAGAGAAGGCTTAATTCCAATTCTACATTTTCCTGCTCCAAGTAGCTTTCTTCCCTTCCTGTTCCATGTCCTGCACACACCATTCACGTACATCTAGTGTACTTGGGCACAAGGTAGCTCAAGATCAGCACCTCTGGAACAGTGATAACACTCCCGTGCATCCAGGTGGATGGATGACCATTATTATAGAGGGAAATCTGGGTGAGTTTCCAGCTGCTGTGGGAAGCACACTTTGGCTCTCTCTGTGCGGATGACGCTGGTTACCGAACAGAGCGGGCAGTCCCTGCGAGCCCCAGGGACATCTCTCACTGCGGCTGCCGCCGGGACGTGCCGGTGTCCCGCAGCCCGGCCTCCTCCCACAGAGAGCTCTTCAGCTCCGCTCCAGCCACTCTCCTCTCCTTCCCAAACAGCAGCGATAGAACCAGCGGGGCCAGCCTGTGCATCCCTGCACTTCCAGCCCAGGACGGGACCGAGAAGGAGCTGCTTTCATAGAAACAGCCGCGTCCCTGCCCCGCTCAGAGAGGGCGACCTGCTGGTTTAGCACCCGCTCTGGAGCGTCGCTTCCCGGCCGCCCCCCAGTCCCGGGGCCGGCACAGCCGGCACGGACGGACCGACGGACACTCACTCTCGGAGTCGCTGAGGCCGCTGCCGTCGCTGACGCTGGCGCTGCTCCGCCGCTTCATGCGCTCCAGGTGCTCGCCGTAGAAGAAGCGGCGCCGGCCGGCGGGGCAGGAGAATTCGGCCAGCACCGCGTCGAACTCGCCCAGCGCCTCCGCCAGGTCCCCGCCGTCCTCCCCCGGCCCTGCCGGGCAGTGACAGCGGCGTCAGCACCGGACCGGACCGGCCCTGACCCGCCCGCGCCCCCACCCCGGCGGAGGGAAAGGGGAGAAGGAAGGATGGGGGAAGAAGGAAAGAAGGGGTCCCGCCCGCCGCTCCCACCTGGCCCCGCCGGGCACTGGGCTGCCGGAGGCTTCATGGCGGCGGGCGGAGATGCCCCAGCGCCGCTGCCGCCTCCCGCCGCCAGCGTGAGCGCCCGGCGCTGCCGCTGCTGCCCCGCTTATAGCGCGGCGGGGCGGGCCGGGCCGGGGCAGGGCGGGGCGGCCCCGGGGGCGGCCCCGGGCGGTGCAGGTGAACCCGGCCGCCTGTCCCGGAGCCGCAGTCCCGCCAGCAGCGGGAAGCGCCGCCCGTGGCCGCCCGGCCCCCAGCGGGATCGCGGCTCCCTCGGGCGGATCGCGCCGCGCTAAGCCCGGCCCCGGCCGTGGGCTGCGGAGGGAGCGAACAGCGGGAGTCAGAGCGGCTGCAAGGACGGACTGCCACGGGAACGCAGGACTGGGCCAGCCTTACCCAGCCCGGGACTGCCAGCAGGACACGGCACACGGCAGGACGGGGAGGCAGCAGCTCGCTTGCACTGAGCCCGTGGCTTTGCTGCACAGCAGCGCTGCTCGAACACCCCCGGGATGCCCTTCCTTCCCCATCCCCATGGCACTGTGCTGGCACCTGCCCGTGGTTATTGCCCTGCTCCGCACATCGGTGAGCTGCGGGCACGGCCGTGGGGGCAGCTGGGCCAGTTAATTCCAGAGGATGAGCCGAGGAGAAGAGCAGGTGGCAGGGGACATGCAGGGAATGCTCAGGCAGAGGGGGTCACAGCCCAGGTGCATCAGGCAGGGTGTTCTCCATGGAGTGCTTTCCTGGTTCTTGTCCTGAAGTCAGGTAAACCTGATGTTTACACATGCCATAGCTACGTTGCTCTTGTGCTGTCTCTTGCTTGTTCTAAATGTAAGCTGAGCAGCTAAAATACCAGTTTTGTTAAATACTCATTGGGGAAGACTCTGCCATGTTTAGTTATGGCCAGAAATACTGAAAACAGACATCAGATGCTATTCCATGAGAATGCGTCAGGAGTTATGGTTATGTTTGTGTGCTGATGAAAATATTTAGAATTAGAAGAGTCAGGGAGAGGTAAGAAAAAACATCTCAAACTTTTTGACATTTTTAGACATGCTGACATTGCTCCTGCAAGATACAAAGTTAGAAAAACAATGTCCTAGACAATAAAACAGATTTGTCCACCTCTCCTTACCAGCTGATATGGAGGCATTTATTTATCTTTGCAGTGAATCAAAAGAAGTTCTCATGACGAAGTTCAATTGTTGTTTGTTCTGTGGCTTCCTCCTCTCTGTGGTCTTCCTCTGTTTTTCTTTCTGCTAATAAAAGTGTCTACAAACAATCCTTTTTAAAGACCACAGTGACACGGAGGGAAAGCGAGGTTAAAAAGTAGGGGACAAGGAGATACGAGGGCATGACGTCAATGGCACGAGCAGGATGAGAGACAATGGATGCAAGGCAGAAGGGGAACTGTCGAGGACGTGACCAAGCACAGCTCACAGCCCCAAAAGACAAGGACCTGGCCCTGCAGCTGATGTCAAATCTCTTTTGCTCAATCACATATGATCAACCTGTCCCACACATCCCCACCGAGCACTGGTGCTTGGTCTGTAGCACAACCTGGCTTAGGGGCAAAAGGTGCTTGAGGTTGGGCTTAGGAACCTGTCCATTTGCTGAGGAATACAGGCAAAATAACCAAAGGCTAAAAGTCCTCCTGTACCCTTCCTTTTGTCTCTCATAAAGATGGTCAAGCCATCTCACTGCCTTTTGGGATGGGGTCTGAGGTCATGTCACAAAGAAAGAGCACAAAAGGGGATGAGAACCCTGCACTGCCTGGGGCCTGCCAGAAAAGGGGAATGACCTGCCTCCTTCTCTCTTCTTGTGCTCCTGGCCTAGACCTTCTGCATGTCTTTTAAACAGGTTTTTCTCATCTGCTGCTGAGCCAATTCAACACTTTAGAACAGCAGAAAACTAATCCAGGAAGAAAGTGAGTAATTTTCTGTTGAACTGAGTTGAATGGGTATAGATAGATAGGGGAAAAAACCAACTGCTTCCCTGTAGCGATATAAGAATTTATCCCTGACATTCTCTTTAAATTATTATCTTACACTCACATTGACCATTTTTAGAATAATTTCTAGGCATGCTGAAGAAATTATTCTATAAACTTCCCTTCTTTACAGCCATGTGTTTGGGAAATCTTTTTTCCTTAAGACAACCTGGGCTTAAAACTACTTAGTTGTGTTTACTGCTTCACAGACTAATCTCTTAACATTTCTTTCAGTAAATACTCATGTTTTCTCCTAAGCAGCCTAGATTCTGCTGAATGCAACCGAGACAGCTGGTGAATTTCAGTTTTCCACAAAAACCATTAGCTTATACAAGAAGAAACAAAGATTCATTTTTATGCTTATTGGTTCTATGTCATGGACCATGTAGCCATGCACATCCATAAATATTCTTGAAAGGCCCCATGCTCCAGCTGAACTGGCTGCACTTTTGGCACAGATGCCAACAGGAGCAGCCCACATCTGGCAAAAGGAAAAAGTCACTTTTAAGTGCAGTGCCCTGAAACTCTGCAGGCTGACACGCCTGGCTGCTCGTGCTTATGGGGAGAAACATCCAACACAACTCCTAATGTAAACCTCAGCTACTGAATCCCTCTCATTTTCTAGGCAGCCATCCAAGCTGTATTTAAAGTGAATTTCTTCTTGCCCATTCGACACAGTGTCTCCAGATCCTCCTCAGCTGGTGACGCGATGTTTACAGTGGTTTCCTACTGCATTTTTGACCTCACAAACTTGTGAGCCACACAGCTATTTAAATCAACAAATCCTGCCTGGAAACACGCTCCAGGGAAAGGCTTTTAAAACAGGCACTTTGATATAGTCAAGCTGCAAGGCCCATGAAGCACTAGTTTTCTGAACAAAGCATGGGATAATTTGGGACACAACACATTGTGTTGCTACACCGGAGAGACTCCTAGAATGGGTTTAAAAAGGCATTGATGCTGTAGGTTGAATAATCTAGCTTCCAAAGCATGGCCCAGAGATGCCCACAGATCCATGAACTACTTCTGAGGCATTCATATAAAACAGAAAAAAAACCCCAAAACAGGATGAGAAATTTATTGGAAACTGGTTACAATTCACAGTACAGGTGCAGCACCATATGCACATACACAGAAACTGGAACTGCAGAGGGGAGAATTTGCAAATCTGAAGTGGCTGTAAAGTTTTTGTCTAATGAATCATTTCTTTTCACCTCTTCAAAGATCAAGAATAACCCAAAATATCAATTTTGTTGAGTAATACCATATTCCCACAGTTAAAAACAAATGTGTTGTGAAACCTACACCTCTCTTCTCATTGGTACTGATACTAGACAAAAGCCAGAGTGCCAGATCCCTGCCCATGGAAGCACCCTGGAGTTTTGAATATTTCATTTCCACAAGTCTTTTAATATTTATTAGTCTGTGAAAATAACAATTCTTTACATAAGTAACAATACCGACTTGTTAAAGTAGATAATTTAAAACCTGTGAATGACAAACAACAGCCCATCATTGCCAAACTTCTAGTTGAAGGAAGCAAGGGAACCCAGAATGAAGACAGCTGTCAAACAGAAAAACGAAAACTGCCAGAGGATGAAAAAGCACAGGTGCCAGCCAGACTGACACACAGGGAAACCCAACTCCTCGGGCTGCAGAGCAGGAATAGATCTAACATCACCAGCATAACCTGTCTCCCTGTGCAGCACATCACAGCCCTGCCCTCAGGATGCTCATTTAAAGGAGGCAGTGGTTGACATTCCAGCCTATTTTATCCTTCACGCTGCAAGTGGAATTGCCTATGTGAGTTAATTGCTAAACTTGCTCTGTAATGAGGAGAGCTGCCTGATTAAACCTTGTCAGAGACATGAGCCATGCATTTTACATGGGCTGCCCAACTACCATCCAAGGTGTTTTGCTGCTTTGGCTGCCAGCTGGGCTAAATAAAAGCCTGTGACCTGTAGCTCAATCCACACCACCAGTGGGAAGAGTGAGTGATTCACAGCAATATATTAATCTTGAAAGATTGTTAAATAAAAAATCTTTTGCCAGAGGTCTTTCACAGGAGAGAAAGACCTTTACTTTACTTCCTCTTCTCCCAAAATGTTCTGTAGATCTTGAACTGTAACCTGGAGTTTTGACAGACTGATGCACTTCCTTTGGGTTTTCTCTCTGCCCTTGACTGATGCACAGTGGATGCAAACTCACGGACCTGCTCACAGCCATTCACAGCTGTGGCCTTGTGAGCAAACCATACACCTTCCTGCTGAATTCTGCCAAAACCTAAGCTCACTTTCTCTGGCCTACTATCCTTCTAAATTTTCTGCTTGTCAAATTAACCTCCTGAATGTGAACACAATACAGTCTGTGTCTTTCAGTAACTAGAGGCAGAATCTCTTGGAGTTTTGAATGGATGACTTTAAATAAGTTAATGATGCCAAAGCATATTTATGGCAGTTTGGATTTAATCACTATTGTTGTAGTTGAATTAAAATTAATTTAAACTGATAAAGTAGATTTGGAACCTATATTGACATCACTGACATATAGAGTCGAATGTTGAGCTGCTGTCCACAGTAAAGAGAGATGCAAAACAACTCAAGACTTTGAATGTTCTGCATCAAGGGACTTTGGCTGAGCACTGCATGGGAAAGGGAAAGAAGTTCAGGTGAGGAGAGGGATGGCAGGGAGTAAATAGGACATGAAGAAGTTTGTAGCCTTTTTCCTGCTGTGCAAAGGAGCCACCAGACAACAAGCAGAGAGAAGTGGACAAAAAGCCAAGAAAATGTAAGCAAAGAGACCACGGCAGTAAGCCAGGAGGGAGAGAGATCCTGGCATCTGGAGTGCTGTGTGGCAATTAGAGGTGAAGAAATTGCCTCCATTCTGGCTCTATTTTCAGGCAAACAAGGCTGTGCACATATCCTTTGCAAGAAGAATGTTGCATACAAGGCTGAGTGGAGGAAAGGGTTTGTTCTTCTTCCTTTAAGTCCTCCCTCATCCAAAAGGGTCCAGTAGCAGTAAATATCCATTTACAGGGTAATGTGGTGGAAAAAAATAAAG